AGACTCAGGCGTTGAATCACTGAACAAAACTTTTGACTTATTGAATGTATCTGACTCTCAGGGCTGCTCAAAAAAAAAAAAAACTGAGACCCTGTCAAAATATGGATCCAAACATTGTGTTATTGGAAGTCTAAATATTAACAGCCTAGGTGGAAAATTCAGCGAGGTCCTTGAGTAGATAGGGGTCTTTGATATTCTAAGCCTTCAAGAAACAAAAATTGGCAAAACTTTTCCAGACTCGCAGTTTGCTATCACCGGCTATAAAATGTATCGAAAGGATCGGAAGAAAGGAAGAGGAGGAAGAGTGGTTTACGTTCGTAACTCTATACTTTCATATTGTCTAAGAATCAAATCCAACGAGCTTGAGGCTATTTTGGTTGATATTCATGTTGGCCAACAACATATTTCTTTATTATGTGGCTATGAGCCACCATCTGTAAACATTAAAACTTTCAGGAGTGAGATGTATACTTTCGTGGATGTTGCGATCTCTAATCGTCCAAGCATAATATGCTTAGGAGACTTGAACTGTGATATTCTACATTCGCTAGATAATGGCGAAGAAGGAAGGGTGTGGCTAGATATCTGTGACGTCTGTGATCTTCAAAATCTTACTACACAGCCGACCAGAATCTATCTCACCAAAGAATCTCGTTTAGACATTATAGCGACGAACGTGCCTGCTTTTGAATTACAACCAGGGTCTCTGGAGACAGGTCTCAACGATCATAAATTAGTCTCTACCGTTTTAAATAGAAAGGTGATGAAGCCGAAAACTACTTTCACGAGGCGAAGGCGTTTTAAAAATTTTAATGAACAAGCTTTCAACAACGATATAGAGTGTATTCCTTTCAATATTGCCTATACTTTTGAGGATGTCAGCGATATTTGCTGGCCGTGGGAAAAATTGTTTGCAGATGTGTTGGATGACCATGCTCTGATGAAAGCTAAACGCTTCAGGGATATCCCTGGAAAATCAAACTTTATTACACCGGAAAAAAGTAAAGCTATGTGGAAGAGAAATGCTCTCAAGCGTAAATTTTATCAAACTCGATCAGCAGACGACTGGGAGGCCTACAGATGTCAAAGAAACCGTGTGATTGCTCTGCGTCGTCGACCTATTATACATCATTTTGATCAGCTAGGCACTTCGCGAGCGAGTAGTCCGAGGGGCTTCTGGAAATCACTACGACCTTTAAGTTGGCCGAACAGAGTTTTCGCGCGCGCTTTTGTTGATGCAATAGGCCATTTTACAGTTGTGTACTTAGTTGCCAAGCCTTTGATTCAGAGTGAGGCTAAAGATGACCTTGTTGTGATAGAGACCTGTATCTAGTTAGCATGATAACAAAGTGATTTACATTTGAAAGGCAGCAAGGTTTGTATCATAACAAGGTCATCTCTAGCCTCACTCCCATTCAAAGGCTTGGCAACCAAGCACACAACTGTAAAATGGACTATTG